ATTGTCCTTGGCAAAAAATACAGAAAAACCTATACGCCTATAAAACTATATAATATAGGTTAATATAAAAATTCTCATGTATGATGGCTGTGGTCCTGGGATCATAGCGGATTCTCCAGTCTGCACCCCAAATTGTTCGTGATGCATCGTTGGTGGGTGAGTGTGTGGGTAGAAAATGTTTAAGACGTGTGAATGGGGCCTGTAGTATAAATAGCACTTTGAGTGATAAGTAAGAGTTGAAAAGTGCTATCCTAGTACCACTGACCATTTACATACCTTATAATAAACAAGGACAAACAGTACAGAACATCACCAATAAATAATAATAATAATAATGGATTGCATTTATATAGCGCTTTTCGGGCCCTCAAAGCGCTTTACAATTCCACTATTCATTCACTCTCACATTCACACACTGGTGGAGGCAGCTACAGTTGTAGCCACAGCTGCCGTGGGGCAGACTGACAGAAGCGGGGCTGCCATATCGCACCATCGGCCCCTCTGGCCATCACCAGTAGGCGGTAGGTGAAGTGTCTTGCCCAAGGACACAACGACCAAGACTGTCTGAGCCGGGGCTCGAACCGGCAACCTTCCGATTACAAGACAAACACCCAACTCTTTGAGCCACGATCGCCCTTAAATGGCACATATTAGTTGCTGTCAGTAAAGTCTGTTATGTTCATGGCCCTGCTTTGTGACAATCTGCCCATGTAGATTTCCACTATTTACTTTAACTTTTCTGAAAAAATGAACATGACTAATTTTAATATTGGACACAAAAGCTAAATGGCAGTTACAGTGGAAGTTGGATTCTTCTGTTTGTCTTTACCAGTTGTATCAAATTTAAGGCCCGGGGTCAGCACCGGGCCAGCAAAGACCCGAACCCGGCCCACTGGAGATGTTTAGAAAATACGACGGAGGACTTTTTTACTGTATATTCATAAATTTGACAGCTATTCCTGTTGATAAGGATTCCCCACACAGCCATTTATATTACAACAAAGTAGTTAGGTAAGCAATTTAATGACAAAGTTTTTCACCATGTACAATAGAAATTTTGTTTACAATTTTTTTTCATCAAAAATTTTGTTTTATAAATATGAGACAGTCTGGGCAGTGAGCTACCAGAACGTTTTCTGTAATTTTACACATTTATCGTGTAGAAAGACCTGAGATGTCCTGATAAAGTTGCACTTCTTTATCTTATATTAAAATATGTCAGGGATTAAATGTGTAGTTGAATGTTTTTATACTGAAATTGAGTTTCACTCATCTCGCACACTTTTTTTTTTTTTTTTTTTTTTTTTAATTTGTGAAGCACTTTGATCAAAACTGTTGTTTTTAAATGTGCTATATAAATAAATTTTGATTGATTGATTGATTGATCAAAGTGAGCTGCACATGCTTTATGTTTCTAAAAGTAGTTTGACATTCGTGGTGTAAACTGAGGCATTACACAAAAATAATAAGTACAAATGTTTTTTTGATTTTATGATGTGCAAATCATCAAAAAGAAATTTGTGACCAGAGATCGAACTGAAGTACTTCAGGGCTGCAACTGCACTTTTTTCCTGGGAAAGAGGAACTTTCTCAGAACTGTGATTTAATCTGCTCACATTTGTGAATTAAGCTCTTAGTTAGAAAATGTAATGACCTCTATAACAATCGTTAAACTTTTCTGTAAAGATGTCTGGATATGCATTCTGGAGGAAAATAGAAAAAACTTATAAAGAGGAAAAGAGGGTTATAGGAGAATTATGAAATGCTTTTCACTCTGTTTGACATGGTAAAATCGAGAAGCAGAAACATTCTGTCTGATTGTGAAATTTAAGGTTTTGCAGCTTTCTTTAAAAACAATCATTTCAAAATTGATCGTTACCTAAAGCAAGCAATTTGGTGATGAGTTTTAGAAAACTGTGTAAATATTTTTATTGCCTTAAATAATATGTATAACATAAGTATTATGTATGTTGATTATGTTGACAAATATGATGTACCTGTGCACATCATATTTGTAGGCAGGTGGATTTTTAAACATTAAACACTGTTTCAGCAGACAAGAGAAGGAAGGAAACGAATAAATGAATATTAATATAATACTTAATATATATTCAGTACAAAAGCGCTCAGAGTGTTAATTGTCAAACAGGACACAGCTACACCACCTTACAGCATGTATATCTCACTAGAAGTCTTAATACAGCTCCAAGACTAAAACAGTTGGGATGCAACTGTTTTTGCAAATCTCATAAACCAATATTTTACTCACAATAGAATCAATCTGTAAAAAAACTGCGTTAACAAATTGTGGAACAATTTCGGAACGATGTTCATCAAAGAATTTGAATACCTTAATGCAAAGTCTTTGCCAGTGCATAATATCATTCAAAGGACCAAGATGAAAATATGTACTAGATTCCAGCGGGTCCTCGGGCTGCGCTGCATTACAAGCAGGCACGATTCTGTCATAGGAGTCACTGCACGAGCTCATAAACACCGTTTGCTGTTCCATCTACAAATGCAGGATAACACCCTATCATGCACATCATGAACATGATCCAGAAATTGGTCCCAAGCCCTTTTAAAATGGACTGAGGGAAAGTGGAACCGAATTAAAATTTGAAAATTCTCTGTTGGAAAACATGGACGCTGTGTGCTTTGGACTAAGGAAAGGAGAGACCATCTGACTAGTTATCAGTGCTCAGTTCAAAAGCCTGCATCTGGAAAGGCACCATCAAAGCTAGATGGATGACCTTTTCAAAGAGGGCCTTGAAGGAGGAGCAAGACAACCTTAAACTGTCTATGCTTCTGCTTTTTAAAGATGTGTTGCTGCCATCAAATGAGTCAGTATTTTTATTAAGATGGAATTTTTTCTTGGTTTAAACATTTGAGACAATGAGATTTGCAAATCATGACATTCTCATTTATTTAAATTTTACACAGCATTGGGGTTGTGATATGTTTACAGTAGAAATGGCACAATGATGTCTTGGCATATTTGCCAAAAATTGGCCTATAGGGCACCTCTATAGCTCACCTGGTAGAGTAGGTAATCTGTATGCTGAAAGGTTGCAGAGGCCTTGGTCTAATTCTGCCCAGATCATTTTCTGTGTCCCATTCCTACTTGCTCTTTCCTGTGCACTAAAACAAACGGAAAATAAAATAAATCAGTCTCTAATTACGTGCTAATACGCTACATAAATACAGCTATGAAAACATGGCTGAATGTCACATGACATTGCCATCCTGGAGACGACACAGAGAAGTCTCCTCCGTTGGTCCTGCATCTCCAGCCAGCTTCCATCCATCTTTCCAGCTGCTCTTTGGTGATGAATCTTCTCCCTGAGCCCCAGCCCCACTCCAGCAGAGAGCCCTCTTGTAGAAAGGCCTGTGGAGGATATAATGAATTACATGTCTACCCAGGGTTCCCCGACCTCTGACCCATGACATCATCAATCAGCGAGGTCCTACACTTAAGTGAAACGGTGGGCCCCTAGCCTGGAACGCTTAGCCCGGTCCCTGCCGGCAAGCAGGGGCCGCTGATTTTCACGTGTTTTTATTTGTTTTCATAATCCCTTAGTGTTCGTCCTCGCTGATGTGTTTGGAAGGAATACACGACTCTGTCTATAATTTGTTTAAAGCTGCAAGAAGAGAAATATAGGGCGTTAAGTGAGAAGAGGACTTGGACATGAGTAGGGAAAAAAATGGCAGACACGGCCTCCTTGCACATATGGAAAAAATTTCTTACCCTCCTACCTTCTGCATGGCACTGTGCTATTTCTGGAGGCTTGGCGGTATTTTAAAGTAAAGGCATGAGTTAGGATATACATACATATCTGTTTCTTCAGCCACATTAGGGCGTTTTAAGGAACGTATTTACGGTAGAACGGACTACAGTTTTTGTCTATGTTTACGGAAAAAATTAGATTTTCAGGAAGCGGGATGATGGGAAAATCTCACCAGGTGTCCCTCCCTCGTCCTTCACATCTCGCCTCCAGCAGTGCCTATATAAGGCAGCTACTTTTCACCAGCCCACCTTTATGCGCTTGTTCACAGACATAATTTACAAGCTCAGCTACACCTCCACACAGCCTCTGAGCCGGCTTGATTATACTGCTGTAGAGGAAGCGAGCACTCAGAGGTTATCTGTGGACTCACAACAGTGGGAAGGCACAGCTTTATTATTCTTTTCAAATGTTACACTGCTGACTTTGCCCTATTAATATGCACGCAACTCTATTTTATGGTCACCATAGATTGCTCTATATATTTAACAGAAGATTCTTTTTTATTTTGTCTGATGCCTGTTTGCACACTTGGTTTCATTTCATTTCATGTGATTTGAAAGATTTACTCTGATGGATTCGCCAGTTGTAAACATTCAAGCTGGATCTGGAACGTCCGGAGATGAAATGGATGCGAAGCCAGATTATATGTGTCGGGTTTGTACGAAAGTTAGATTTATTTATTCTTTTTAGATCGCGAGTATGCAGTTTGAGAGTGTTTTTCGCAGAGGAGTAGCAAATATGATCAAAATAGAATAAAATAATAAAACATGAACACATTAAAGTGGAGAAAAACCAGAACATTGCATAATGAGGAGATAGCCAGGAGGACATGAACACAAAATCTCAGCTGCATGTCGAGAAAAGCAGCATTTGTTCAGCGTTTTGCTTTATTTCACTACCTGATGCAGTATTCTATCTGTGCAGGCTTGATGTCTGTGGCTTAGTAATATAGATGAGGAGCAAAGTGAGGAGTGGTGTAATGGAGTGCTGGAAAGAGAGAGCAGCAAGCTGACGAATGGAGCGTTTCTCTGAGTGTCAGCGGGAGCTTCCAGGATGATAACCTCTGCTCCTCTCAGTTTCCAGCATTGCGCAGTTGTTTCCGTGTTTTTTTTTTTTTTTTAACGACACAGCTCTCACCTCACATCTTAACTCATACTTCACTTTCTGTCCCCTCTTCTCCATCTTGCTGTCCCTTCTCCTTCCTCTCTTCAGCCAGACTCGGGCTCTGGGCCTCTCCTGTTAGCTGGATACGAGAATGGCTCTCTGTTGCTGTGGGACGTAACCCAGAGGTCCAAGTTGAGCCAAGTCAAAGCCCACCCCGAGCCTGTCATGTGCCTGACCTTTGACACCACAAGTCTGAGGGGCGTATCGGGCTCCTCTGAGAAGACGCTCTCTTCCTGGAGGCTGGATGGACAGAGCAACCTGCAGGTCAGTAGAGGACAGAGCGTTTGATCTGACTGGTCGGTCACTCTCAAACTGTGAAAATGTGAATTTGTTTGTTATGATACACCTGCAGTAACCTCTAATCCGCAGTGATAACTTTGCTTTTAGCTAGCTGTGTTAAGTATTTGTGACTTAAATTGATTTTAGCTGTTTTTTTCTGGTCAGATGTTTCAGTTGGGTCACTATGTACTTTCCTTTATATCAATAATACTAACAATTCTGCCAAATTAGGGTTAATTACTTAAGGTATTTTAGACATGATGCCAGGTCTCTCTTGAAAATGAGATTTTTAATCTCAATGAGATTTTTTACCTGGATAAATAAAGGACTAATAATAAATAGAAGTATTCCAAAGGATACAACTACCTTTGTTGAGCTAGTCACACTAATTCATATTGGTTACTGAAGCGTCCCTAGCTAAGACCCCAAATAAGCTGACCTGCTAACTAATTGTTGAACAAGAGAGTCCCTAGAAATAGTATAAAAAGGAACTGGAGGAGACGGCAGCAGAGGAGTGTTACCTTTCTCTGGGCTTGCTTGGAAAACATCAGGGGCCAAAGAGGAAGAGGCTCAGCGGGGCTCCAGGGGCCATAAATCAGCTGCTGGTTACACAGCATTGGCAGAGCTGGGGGCCAAGGGCCAAGCTGGGGCTGTCACTCCAGAGTCTTACCACCCACATGTACATTGATACACAATTGCATACTAGACCTCGATATGCTCACGTCACCGTTGATTACAGCTGGGAAGAAAAATGTGTCATTTTCTGGTTTTAAAAAGAGGAAAATCAAGGCGTACTTAATTCATTTAGCATACAGCATTCCTCTTACCATAATTCAGTTAAAACACAGACAGACTCTCAAACATATGTCCTGTCTGTACAATAAATTCCATGCCAGTGCATCTGCACTAACACCAAAAGAGATCATATCAGCTTGTTCCATAATTCATTTTGCATAACAGCCAACGCCTCCGAGACTTAACGCCTCATTTGAAGCTGTATTTTCTCTTGATTTCATGAGCAAAAGGGAATGCTCCTATTTTTCAGCCAACCCCCGTGAATCCGAGCCAAGGGGAACCTGAGGCTGATATAGTACACTCCTGCACAGTGAAAGCGGTATTATTCTTTCCGAGGCTTTTTACAAATGAATGCTTGAATTAGAAATATTTGCAAAGCTCCATTTTTTTTTCACCCCTAAATATGTGTCTAGGAAATCACCGCGAAGGATTTGATTCAATATACCGAAAACAGGAGGAGAGGGGTTTATTTGCTTTCTTTTGCTCGAGCAACAAAATATTGATTCAGCGTGTAATCCAGGATGAGTATGACAGGCAGAAAGCACAAGGAGAGGGAAAGGATCCAACGGGGGCTTTTAAATTATTCTGAAGTGCAGCTCAGTGTGACGTCCAGACAGCTATCCTCAGTTCTTCCCACAAAAGTATTTTTGTGTGGCCATAGCAAGCAGGCAGGGGGGACCTGCCGGTTGGTGGACCCTGGCCCGGGGTCCTGACTGATGACCCTTGAGAGGTAATAAAAATATCAAAACCTGAGAGGCCCCTTAACCAAACAAAAAACACATCTGCAGTAAAGGGAACAGTAGTTCACAGTGGGAGGCTGCAATAAAGGCTGAGGAGGCTGTAAGTGCCACAGCATCCCACTTCCCACAAATTACCCCTGCGATACAGTCCAGTGCAGCAGAGCTGGCTGGATGCTTTTCTTTCTCCTTTTTTTTTGGTGAAACGGTGGGGAAACTGAATGTGACACAATGCAGCGCAGTTATGATTTAGCGAGGCTGAAAGGCTGTGAAGTGAGCTTATCAAGGCCAGATAAAGACAGATAGCCTCAGGAATGGAGGTTAATGTATTTCACATGGCTTCCAGAGGCCTTTATCTTCTGCTTGACCTGGAAAGCCTGATATCATTTCATAGCATTTTTCCCCCTCTGCTCTGGTGCGGTGTGCATTTTTGAGAATTTGTCAGGGTCGAGACTATGTTGTATAAAGACGTGAGACTTAAGGGTTTACAAGCTGTTAAACCAGATGGACGCTCATTTAGGTGGATGCTCACCTGCATTGGCACGTGCAGAGACGGGTTTCTCCTGGAGAGGGAAAAAGACAGCAGTCGCAGTCCGGAGAAGGGAAAACGGGGAATAGACAGGGGAAGATTAGCAATGTAAATCAAGCGTGTCTGACAGTGAGCTGTTGCTGGAGCTGATGACAGTTCTCTACAGGTGGACATCCTGCTCCTCACATACACAGCAATGTAAAAATATCCCCTGTTGTCACCTGCACGATTTCTTTGGGAAACCACAATTCCTGCAACTGCAAATCAGGCCCAACTTCAGCTGTGCTGCAATATAAAAAATAAAAAATCTTCACTCTTTTTATGGGGCATCACCCTTCCTCCTCCTCCTCCTATCTTTTCTGAATGGGATTGCTCACCTGACACATCCATCTCCTGTCAGCCAGAGCCGAGCTCTAACAGACAAGGTGACAAAAGGCTGTAATCTCCCCACTGCCAAGTGTGATTCAGGGACAGGGTGTGTCAGATATACCTGTGAAAACCCTTCCAGCCGCTAGACTCGAGTGAGTGAGCGATGATGGGACATTTCAGTAGATCAGTGTGAACACCAAGATTGGTGCCAAGACCAAGGTTAAAGACAGGAGGGAAGAAGAAGGGGGGAAAAAGTGAAGCAAAGCACGAGTGAAACCTGCCAAGTGGACACTCCCTTTGAACGTCAGCTCGCTCTGGAGAGATGCTACGAAAGAGGATCCTGAAGTGTGAGTTTGTGTTGGATCTGTCATAGGCCCAGCTGCTGAGCAGAGCTGGTAGCCTCCTGACAGCTGAGAAATCTGGCGTTTAGACAGCGAATCCCGTTGTGTGTGTTTATCTGCGTGCTGTAACACAGCCCAGGAAGGAGTGTTTCCAAAAAGGGAAGAAAAAAAAACAAGAAAAAAGAATGATGAAGACCAAAGATGGATTCTGTCTGTGATGAGATAGCGAGGAAGCAATCTGAGGAAAAATGGGGTGGAAATAATGCAAGCCAAGACTCCCCGGTTAGAGCTAATGGGTTTCATTAGAGACTGAGGACTGGTTAATGGCAGCAGTTGAAGTCAGCTGCGTTTTCAGTTAGATGTGGTGTGGCCTGACAGCAAAAGCAACAATGCTGCTGCCGGAGAACATCGAGTTAGAAAAGACAATAGTCTTATGTTCCAAGAGCAAAGAGTTTTTCTGACATTTAGAAATAATATATTCAAGGGCTGTAACTATTTTTTAGGTATTTTTTTTATTCAAATTAATCTGCAGCCTCAGAGCCAGTTGAAGCACAGCTTTATTTATTTGGCCCACTTTTATGGTCCAAATAAATAGGTCATATTTTTAAAAAGCCAAATCCAATCAATTAACTGTTTCTAGAAGACAGTTTAAAAGAATCTCATTTGAGCAGCAGGATTTTTGATCTTTTTTTTTTTT